ATTTACATGCTCTCCCTACTGAATAGGAGATAGATGATATCCATGAAAACTGGATCACAATATGCAAAAGTTAGCTTTGGTACCAATAGGCCTGCAATTCAGGTTAAAACAGAATAATGCACAATAAGATTTGCAGACTAAGTAGCCTGTGGATGAAAAATGAGAGTACCTTTAGCCATGTGCTCGGCCAGTGGGACAGTCTGTCCATGACTGCGTGCCCCACCACGTCTGCCCTGGGACATCACCCACAGCCAGCAGCCACTACCCTGCAGTGTGTCTGCAGGCAGACAGAACTTGACATCTTTTAATAATCATGCTTTTCATTATTTAATGCAACAAGGAAACTGAAATCACTATGAATAAAAAAGGTTAGTGCGGTTTTCATATGATCGCTGTCTTCTATCCAAAGGTGTTTTCACTTTCTGATGTCTGCTTTGCACTGTTTCAGCAACTAGCCTAAAGGGTCCTGGATGTTCTTGTTTTCCCGTTTCTCTCTCCCCAAAACAGACTCTCCTGTCCTCTCTTCTCTCCATACACACTCTTCATCCACAACTATTATACTGATTGAGGCTACAGTGAAATGTATTATTTCACCAGAGACTTTACTGCCTTGCATTTGACCTGATAAATAAATGGTGTGACTGTAAGGCTTTGTTCTGCTGCCTCCACCATATCAAGCTTATGAACCTATTTTCATTATAGTTACAGATGACTGAAAAATAAGGACAAGTCAAGTGAAATTTTGCAGGGAAATTGCAAACATTTTTGACTACTTTGCAGCTTTCCATGACATTTCAGAAACATCCAGCCAACTACACAGGAGATAAAGACGTTTGTTCTCAATTTTATGGCATGAAAAATATCTGCCTACTTTTTGATAAAATAATGAAATCATTTAATGCATTTTACAGTTTTCACAGACCCATGATTTCCAGTTTCACCAACTTCACAAATCAGTTATTATAGTCTCGTTTTCATAACCCATATCAGTTTCTCAACAGACTGATTTGACTCTGATTTACATGAAACATCCGATTTTCACCATCTCTCTTCAGAGGGAACAGAGTTTGTAGATCTTTCACAAACCAGGGCTAATAGAAAAGGAAACAACAACAATTCATTAAAATAAATTTAAATATTTTTAGAATGAAATTTTGATGGGGGGGGAAAAACCACAGTAGAACAAACCAGTATTCTTTAGTCTGCAATGCTCAGCTGTCCTACTGGAAGTGTCAACAACAACTTTAGTACTGCCTAAAAGGCCTGAAATAGCCATTACATATCATAAAATAACTCCACCGTTGTTTCCCTCCAAAGTAAAAGCAGCAAACCAAAGAAAGCGAGTCCCAGGGGGGCTGCATGGATGCAGACCTCATGGGGAATGGCAGTTAGAGCTCTCCCCACTCCCAGGGCTGACACCAGCACCTACGCCAAGCGCAACACAGACATACACAGACCAAGAATGCAACCCAGGGCTGCTGGCTTTCTCATTTTTGAAGATTACTTATTTGTAGAGTCACACATTAGTAGTCTTCTTTAAATTAACTGAAGCAGAAACTAACTCAACGCAACTCCAGTGAGCCAATTTCTCACAGTTTCTGCTTGTGGAAAGAGTTGATAAACCTGAGCTGCGAGATTGCCTGTGAAACCCAAAGGCTCTCCATCACACCCGATACCCCCTGATAGCTTTATTTGATGATTTGGCAAAACAACAACAAGAAGATGATAGTAGAAAGAGAAATTTAATACCAGTGCTTGTGATTTATGAAATGCTCTAACTGTTACAGGTTTCACTTGCAGTTTTTCTAGTCGGAGAGAGGATGTGCAATTCAAGCTCGCCCTCCAGTGGACTCCATGCCCACACCAGTACACTAAGTTTCTAGGATACTGCTGAGAAGTATGGAGAACCTAGAGGATAGCACACTTAAAAAAAAATAGGGGTCACCTGAAGAGAATTAAATGCAACTGTTACCATCCACAATATTTTGTTTCCATTTTTAATTAGGTTTAAAAAAAGTACACTTTCCAGAGAACAAAGTTGTCCAAAATACCACATTATTTTTCCTCCTGCATTCAAACAACTGCAAATGTTTTAGTGGCTATGCATATATAGTAAATGAAAAAAAAATTAGTTCTCAAACATGTCCTGCCTAGGTAAATGACTGTCAGCAAGATCAGCCTCCCTAAAAACAAAAAGTCCAGATTATGCAATGCTGAGTTTCTGTGATCTTCTCTCAGAAAGTTTCCTACTGAAGCTTGTTCACCCTTGCGTGCACAGCTGTCATACTTCATTTATACTTATCCAAAACTGCACACTAATTACTGCGGGTCATACGTGAATAATTAACTTCTTTTTCCCTGAAGCAAAAGCAAAGACCAAGACAAAAAATGTAAGATGAGATTAATACATAGGGTACACTCATGGTTGGTGCCACATGTAAAGTCACAATATATCAACTTCTTACCAAGATCTAAGAAGTGCTCTGGAAAACACATTTAATTTTAAGAGCACGATACAGATTTTTCTCATCAGGTCTATTGGCTAAAATCAGTGCTCAACTTCTCTCTAGACTACACTTCTTGTATTGCAGCAGGTGTGAAGACATGAAAATATAAAGCAGTTAACAGCTGACCATTTAATGAAGGCTTTTTATTTTACTTTTTTTTTTCTTTTTTCTCCCTGAAGGAATATAACGACATCTAACATGACTGCAAAATATTTCAGGCCTTTTGGGGTGGGGATTCATTTCAGCCAGCTAACAGGTAGGTATCCAGGCTTCCTCTGCAGTCAGCAGTGAAAGAGAAGCACCTTCTCAAGCCAATCTCTGGGTCTACCCAAAGAGGGAATAATGTGCCCCAGAGGTGCCAATCCCTCTCCTCTGACTACCCAGAGATCCCAGACAGATAGCATAGCCTAGACACCAGCTGCCAGGGAACCAATGCTGGGAGATGGATCCTATGATTACAGCAGGTACAGAAACTGCCTCCATGCTGCAAAAGCTGTAATTACCAACACTGTTTCAAGCCTTCAGTGCCTAGTTTTGAGCACCCTAAGCGCACAGCCTGAGATTCAGCGGTGCAGACTATCTGACACTGATGTAAGCGTGTTACCTGCAGGTGCTGGTCTGCCATGAGATCACTAATGAAAGTGATACTCAGTGATTTAAAACATCAGGGCAGAGAAGAACCTTCTGTATTTCTGAGCTAACTTGGGTGTGACACTTCTGAGGTTGCTCACGTCTACTTTTGTAACTCAGCTCCTTACACGGTGCTTGCTTGTACTTCCGGGCTGGTTGCCAGTCCTGCAGGCTAGAAAAGAGTAACTTCCCTGTGGTATAAACCCTTAAGTGGTATTTCGATTCAAACCAAAATTCTACTAGCTTCATGCCTCTACTAGGCTCCCTGCCTTCTAATCTGCTGAAGCCATATAATGCTCCAAGGGTGATACAGGGAAGAACAGAGAAACAACTTAGAAATCAGGGTAGGGAGAAGGAAAGGGACAGAGTAGGCTTAGATTGGGACAAAAGAAGTAAAACAAGAATGACAGAGAACAAGGTGAAAGGGTAAGGGTAAATAAAATATATCAGAAGGGTAGGGATGAAAGACCACATTGAAGATGGGAAAGAACAAGGAGGAGGAAAAAAGAATTAAGACAAGATATAATAAATTGAGAGAGAGAAGTCACAAGCATTAATGAGAAGATACAAAGAAGCTAAAACAATTGGCCTGGAGGGAAACTTAATGAAATTCTCAGATCACCAGAACATTTCCACTGTTTAAGGAAGGGACTCTTACCTTACAGAAATTGGTTTAGTAGGGGGTATTAGGATGGAGCCTTGTTCAGTATTCCTCTCAACAAAAGTCCTACCAACCAAAAGACATAAAAGACGTGGCCTCATTTGAAATGGAGAAGCCATCACTTAATTTTTAAAAATAATATCTCATACTCTTTTAGAGTACATCACACCACAGAAAGCATGAGCAGACTCTCAGTAAAGAGTAACATTGTGCTACATGCTGGATAAACACCATCGTTTCTCCAAGGAGTTACAAGAACACTGAAGTACATTAAGCACAGAGAGATCAATAAATTTAATTTAAGCAAATCAACAGCAGAGTAAGGAACAATACTAACAGAGCACTCTGACCACTGCTTTTCTAGCCATCCAAGTGATCCCCTTTTCTATTGCTCTTGATGACTTCAAATTGCTGGTTCTGAGTTTATCCGCAATAAAATTATAATCACACATCACTACTTCAGCTACCCTTATATGCCTGCCATGTGGGCTAGTAGCAGCCCATAAAGTCAACAAGGACACCAGGTATTGACTAAGTATTATCATCACCGAACGGGACCCAGTTCATCTAGGCACCTCTCTTGCATATCTGTTGTAGGGACCTAGTGCAACTTGTTCTCATAAAGTGACTGACTTCCCTCTGCAGTACGTGACAGATGCCTCTGAAAGCCTCCAGAAAGAAATACTGAGCTCTTGAGTTTACCCTTGAATTGAACTGAAGGCATTTAGTGGCACCTAGCATTCAAAGGCTGCATCTGTAAAAGCAAGTAGCGACTCAACAGGAGCAGGTCTGTAGAGTGAAAAAAACGGTGCTGAAGATTCATGTCCACACTATATGCTCTTCTTGAGGGTTTTCTTTGGACCAGTTCTGGTTGGTCCCAAGCAATGACCACGCACTGTTCGCTGACACACAGTACGTGTGTCCCCGGAGGCCACTTTTCTGTTTAGTTTCATCTGAAAGGAGTCTGGTTTCTGCTGACGCTGCCTTTGTGCTGCAAAGTGGGGATGACAGGGAAGTTCAATTCAAAACCACACTCTTGATCTGCACCAGAATGCCAATGCTGATGCACTCGCGGACATCTCTGTTATTTACATACAGGCTTTTGGCTCTTAGTGTAGGACGACGAGTTCAGTAAGTCCTGAATTAGACAAAGAGGAACCTGCTTGTCTTAACTGTGGTACACAGCACCAGAAAAGTCTTACCTGTGTGCGTCCTCCGGTGCGCCTTCAGGTGGGAACTTTTTGTGTATACTTTGTTGCATCCCTCAAAGTCACACCGATGGATGCGCCGCTTCCTGGAGTCTGGAGACTCGGACCTTCTCTGACGCCTTGTGCTCTCAATACTGAACGGTGAAATTGAGCTAAAAAGACCAGAACAGAAGCAAAAAATGAAGCAAGAGCATGGTATATATCCAGGGCCCCCAAAAATCAGCTGCAACATATCACTGTGCCAGAAGTGACCATAACAATGAATTAAGTACCTCGTTTTCTCTAATGTCCACATCACATATTTCAAACAATTTGTGCTTGAACCAGAGCTTATTTAGCAGCATGAAATAATTCAAGTCTTGATTTAGAAGTGCTTATTGCCACAGAAAACACCACGATCCTTGAAATACTGCTCCAATAGTGAAGTAGCCTGACTTTATCTGATCTTTATTTCTATTTTACATATGTCCAGATCCAAGCTCACTGAACCCTGCTTTCTAAAAAACTTTATATATGGCCTCCATAATTTCTCTTTGACAAGTTTAAATAGATAAAAATCCTGAAACCTTTTATGAAAGAAGTGTTTCCAGTAGCCAGATCTGGACTACAGATCCTCGCATTTGGCCAAACACCTGTTGTTTCCTTGCATACAGATTGCTAAGAGATCCGTACCACCCTGCAGCAGCGGTTTTTCCATTTCTTTATTTAACAATTCTCCATCTATCATCTGCAAGTCAATGAATTTTATTTCCTTTCAGACCACTGAAAAACAAAAAGTTTATCAGCACAGGGTCAGCAAACAATCCCCACAAAAATGTGAATGCTCATTGAAGATACTCCATTTACAGCAATGTCCTAAGGCCCATCAGTTATCTCAATTTTAAGCAATTAAATAATATAATCCCGAGTCATGTTGCTTGAGTTTCTAAATACAGTGCATACCAAGTATAATACTTGAAGAAAGCCAAGCCTCCTACAACAATGTACCTACCTTGGTTAGATAAACTTGTGTCATAAACTATTATCAAGCTGGTATGCAAGATCCAAACTCTCATTGACTTCCATTAATTATATTACCCAGCTATAAATCATTATTAATTGATCACCTTATCAACCACATTATGGTTATACTGCACAGCAGTCATGTTCACCTGCAGTTATACTAGCCTGTTTAGCTGCTTTATGTACTGCAACAACATTGGCTTTCATTAAGCTTCTGGGGTTTCCCTCACATTCCTGGGTTTATTGACATTGAAGGTAAATGATCTACAGATTCCTCAGCCAGCTCTTTTAAACTTTTCAGATGTAAGTTCCCAGTTGTCCTGAAAGAATGTGTGACTGTTAAATGAACATGAATCGGAGGAAAATAAACTGAATCTGATCAGGAAAAGAAGTCAGCACGAACCTTTGGGGAAGCTAAGATACTAAGAAAGGCATTTGAAAGAAATACTGATGTTGATGAATCTGCTGAGAAGCTCCTGTGTCAACACCAATCTCCAACTTCCTGTTACAATAGCCAGCCCTGTTATAGCTATAGTTGTTCTGGCATAAACTTCACTTTTAGAGATTTCCAGAATTTGCTAAGGACTATTTATACTGGGTTAAAACTTTGCATAAAGCTTCTCACACTGTTAGCACGTGATTTCACTGATGTTCCGATTTGCTGCATCACAAATCTTTCAGCCTTGAATTTGTGGTAGTTCAAATTATGCATTTTTATTTTTGTTTAAATATTTTTACAGTACAACCCTAATTTGAAGTGCTATTTAAAAAAATGGAGCATTCTTTTTCTGACAGCCCTCTTTTTCTCTTGATATATATTCATATTTCATCTTCAGGCAAAGAGATTTTCCAGATTAATTATTTTTGCCTATAATACGATGTGTGTAAATAGGTATGCAGGGGATTTCTGAAATGGAGGAAGAAACAGACAGAGGGCCATAATATTAACACTAACTAGCAAAAAGTAGTCTCTGAGAGAGGAAGACATATCAGCACTTTAGCTATATGACAAGAATACAGATAATGTTTAGCTCTCACAGAAATGGCTTAGGAATTGCACTTAAGCATCTGCAAATAAAAGTCTTGGCTTAGATGATTCACTGAGAATGGTCTTGCTACTCCAGATTTTTTTTAAAACATCCCATCAGCTAAAATAAAAAGCAAACATGTAAATCAAATCTTAAAGCTCAATACTGAAGGTACAAAATCCAGTGCTCAAAACCTGAAAATCTTTATCTTTAAAAACAAATATTTGTGCACCATTTTTGCTGCATGTGATTTATGAGCTGTCTTAAAAGCCTATTTTGTAACAGGGCATTCAGGTCTTGGATAGTACTGCTTGTTTAAATGGGAGGAGGATCAAGTTTATAATGTTGCTGCAATTTCCAGCCCCAAGACAAAACGAAACTTAAGCGGAGTCAGCAGCTCCTAAAAAGCTATTTGTCACATACAAGAAAATGACCTCACTGCTGGGAACTGCTCTGTGCTTTCCCAGATATTTATACAGGAGATGGTGGCCTAAAGCAGTGCCGCAAAGGTGGCACATGATCACTGCTGCTGCTTCTTAACTGAATTGCTCCCTCCTTCTAAAAGGCAAAGCATCCTACCTATTCCATGCCAGGGAAAATAACTGAAAAGCCACAGAAGGTGCCGTGCATTGCCACCGACCCCTGTGGGCTTCACAGCCATCACTTGCTCAGCATGCTGAGGAGAAAGGTTAACATTAACTGGAACCACCAAATGCAATCTCATGCTGTCCCTTTGCAGCAGTGCAGGCTGGATGACAAACTAGCCAGCAGAAGAGACTCACATTAGAAGTGAGAGCACCCCTCCAAGGTGATCTTCCTCTGCCACTCTAACCCCTGTGGTGCAGGGGGACCCCACAGTGAGACACGTTCACCGGTGGAAAGGAGCCAGACCCTACCTGATACCACCAGTCTTGCTTTAGCTTTACAAAGCTGTGTGATTTTTTTAAACGTACCACAAGAAGCCCTAAAAAGAGCACAAGGTGCTTTTTTTGAGCTTCCCAACGTTAGTCCCTCTTGCAGTAACTGTCAGTTGATTTGCTGCTGTTCCCTCCCTTGGCCATGCAGCAGTAAAGGGACACCCTCCCTTTCTCAAGCAATTTCTATAAAATACCCTCACTTGCCACATAGAGAGACACAAAAAAAAAGTCCTCAAAACCATGCTCTGTGCCAAAATTTTTGTTTTGAAGTCCATGGGGGTTCTGCCAGGTGGCTATGGTCAGTACAAGGCTCCAGAAACTAGTTTGATGGCACCTCAATGGACAAAGTCTTTGAGAATGGACATGACAGGGAACTCGGGTATTTTTTTTTACTGAGGTTTTTTTTTTTTTGTTTACAATATGTTTTAAAACCATGTGAAACAAACAAACAAACAAACAAACATACCCCCCCATATTGTAGTAGCCTCTCTTGACTGTAAATTACTCTCTTGACTACCCAGACTGAAGACCTGGAAACGCATCAGCAGCTGCGAGCTGCTAGGGTGCCCAGAGGAGGAGCTGCCAGTTCTCCTGTTAATGGCCAAGAGCTCAGGCAGCGTTTAAGGTTCAGGGTGAGGTTTAGCAATAGGACTGACACCACAGGTAACATCCCAGGGAAACTGCAGGTTGTATCAAATTACTGCTGATACATCAAGCTCAAAAGATAAATTAATAAAGAAGAAAATTGGGTTCTGACCTGTCAGTTTGGCATTCATTTATTTGCTGGTTTATTTCCAGTGTAATTTCTATAGTAGTATAGAATCTATTACACTAACAGAAATCCTGTCAGACTGCTGGTTGTCCATAAGCAGCTGCAACACCTGCAGTCAGTACTACTCAGACGGTGAAATGAATGAAACCAATGTGAGCATTTAGGGTGATCTACAAAACTTCAGCTATGTTACTTCCAGTTAGAAGTGAAAACACGCATCTGTGCAACTCACACAAGGCCAAGTGCTTGTCTCTCTGATGCAAAAAAGCCTGCAAAGTAAAACAAAGCCCAGGGCTTCGCCAGTAGATGGCCATCAAGTTCTGCTGAACGTGATCTGCACTGCATGCGGCTAGGTTTACAACAACCCTGGTGATGCAAGATTATTATTCTTCCTTTCTGCAAATGCTGCCCCTAACCTCCTGGGGGTTTTGCCTCCATTCCACATACAGACCGTGAAAAGCCCTCGGTATATGCAGTAGCACTGTTAAAACCACACATATTGGGTCTTTTTATACCAATTCTGTCTTTCCTGAGAGATCTGCAGAGCACGGCTGCCTGGGGAGCATGGTACATTTATTAAAGACTTGAACTTTGTTCAGTGCTGTGACACACCAACAACATGCCATGTGGTGACAAGTCGCTGCACAGTGGCTGCTCCCTACAAACAGCCTGCTCACATGCCCTCACCCCATGGCAAATATGCAGTGTTACCTTCGGCTACCAAAGCATGGCACTGATGGTGTCCCAGTAAGTCAGGCAAGAGCTGGCTGACATAACCAGGACAGAGCCAGGGATGTGCAGCGAGCTGCCACTTTGTTTTTTGCTGTACAAACCCAAACAGTGTCCCAGTGTTGCATTTTCGTCTTATGATTGCCACCTTTACTCTTCCTCGACCACTCCGCTATGAGCTCAAGCTCCTTGGCTATGTTGCCCATCTGCCTCACAAAAGACCTTATGGAAAACGCAGTGACTCAAGACCAACAAGCGTAGACGAGCTCGTGTCCAAAGTCCCCCCCACCTTATCATACATCTCTCCTTTACAGCATTCAGACTGCATTAACTTTCTCTCTATCTGGCCCTGTAGTTAAATAAGAGACTTACGGCTGCACCTTAACAATACTCCATGGCTGCTAAAAACAGACGCTAACGTCACATTGGGGTAAGACCCGGGCACGTATCAGCTGTTTCCCCTCTACTCTGGCTACCAGAAAAAGGAGAACCAGACTGGGCTCAGCCCCGTGCGGCATCTGCTCAGCTCAGATGAGGAGCTTGGCAGGCCAGAGTGTGCTCCACAATGTGGGCATAATGTGAGCCACGGTCATCTTGTGTTTCTCAGGCTCTGGGCTGTTAAAGGATGTGATTTGGCTAAGGTGGCATACCAGGACAGTCTTGCTCCAGTTGCTTTCCCACCGGCACTTGTCTGATTCTGCAAC